AATACACCGAGAAAATTTGTTATATGGGTGTGGGCGGGTACCCATGAGGCGGGTTTACCAAAACCCAAACTCAGCCCAGTGAATAGTGAATGGGTTTAAACCCAAACCCTGCCCAAAATCCGTCAACACGGATTTTACCCGCGTTGACCGGGTTGGGTCGGGTGGGTACCCGTGGTTTCGGGTTTTGTTCTCATCCGTACCAAAGAGCATCATCGAGCTTGGTGGACCAATCCTTGCGAGATTGATCCACCGTTTTCTCAATTATGCGCTTAAGCTCCCGATTTGTCAGTTCGGCCTGACCACTCGTTTGGAGGGTGGTAGGCCACAGACACCTTGTGAGTGACACCATAGCGAGAGAGGATTTTATCGAATTGGCCCTGAAAATGGGTGTCTCTATCGCTAATGATGGCTCTAAGCATCCCGAACCGGGAGAACAGCTGCTTAAGAAGTTGGCAAACACGTCTAGCATCATTGGTGGGAAAAGCCTACGCTTCAGCCCACCTAGAGACGTAATTCACAGCAACTAAGATGTATAGATTACCAAATGATGGAGGGAAGGGGCCCATGAAATCGATACCGCAGACATAAAAAATTTCACAAGTAATAAACACATTCTGGGCATCTCATCACGGGCAGAGATGTTACTTGACCTCTGGCATCGGTCGCACCGACGTGAGAAGGTGTCGGCGTCCTTAAAGAGCGAGGGCCCGTAAAAGCCCGACTGTAGTACCTTCCTCATTGTGCGGTTACCGCCATGGTGCCCGCCAGTAGGTCCCACATGGCAATGATACAAAATTCCCTCCATCTCATTTTCCATGACACAGCGACGGATGACCCTGTCCGCTCCGATCCTAAAAAGATGTGGGTCATCCCCGAAGTAGTGCTTTAGGTCAAAGAAGAACTTCCTCTTGTCATGAGTCGTCATCCCCTTGGGCAGCTGTTGGCCCACCAGATAGTTCGCAAAATCGGAGAACCTAGGGGTGACACTCACCACCAGGCACATCACCATCAATCGCGCATCTGGAAAGGAGTCATTGATCTCCTCCTCGAGGTTGTCCGCAGGAGGTGCGTCCAACCAGGAGAGATTATCAGCATGAACATTTTCGGCTCCCTTCTTGTCCCGGATCTCGATGTCGAACTCCTGCAATAATAAGATCCATCGTATGAGCCGAGGCTTGGCGTCAGCCTTGCTCATCAGGTATCTTAATGCGGAGTGATCTGTGTACACTATTAGCTCCTTCTTCGTGGTGGTGTAATTCTCCTGGGCATCATTGAGGGTCTTCGATGCGTAGTAGATAGGCCAAAAATTCTAGTCTCACCTCTGCCCCAGGACAGCTCCAACTGCGAAGTCACTTGCATCGCACATCAGCTCGAATGGTAAGGTCCAATCGGGAGTAAACATGATAGGAGCATGAGTGAGCTTCTCCTTCAAGGTCGTGAATGTTGTTGTGAACGCGCCAGTGAAATGGAAGGGGAATCCTTCTCAATGAGCTTCGTCAGGGGCAAGGCGGTCTTCGAGAAGTCCTTGATGAACCGCCTATAGAACTTTGCATGACCCAAGAAACTGCGAATCCCCTTGACAGATGTAGGAGGAGGCAGCTAGTTGATTGTCTTGATATTGGCTCTGTCCACCTCTATCTCCATCTTGTAGATCTTATGCCCCAGAACTATGCCCTCGCGAACCATGAAGTGGCACTTCTCCCAGCTCAGCGCCAGGTTCGTCTACTCACACCTTTTCAGGACGAGTTCCAGGTTATGGAGATAGTGAGAGAATGAGTTTCCATAAACCTAAAAATCGTCCATGAACACCTCCATGATTTCTCCGACCAGACGATCAAAGATGACAAGCATACACCGCTGGAATGTGGCTGGGGCGTTGCAAAGACCGAATGGGATCCTCCGGTAAGCAAATGTGTCGAAAGGGCAGGTGAAGGTGGCCTTCTCCTGGTCTTCCGTTGCTATGGGAATCTGAAAATACCCGGACATCACATCCAGGAAACAGTAGAACTCATTCCCCGCCAACCTCTCGAGCATATGGTCAATGAATGGCAGAGGGAAGTGATCCTTCAAGGTAGCGTCGTTAAGGCGGCGATAGTCGATGCAAACGCAATACCCGGTCACCGTGCTCATCGAGATGAGCTAATTCTTCTCATTTGGGACCACGGTCATCCCACCCTTCTTAGGCACCACTTGAGTGGGACTGACCCACTCACTGTCAGAAATGGCGAAGATGATTCCCGCGTTCATCAACTTGATAATCTCCGCTCGAACCACAACCTCCAGGTTCGGTGTCAATCTCCGCTAAGGCTGTCGCACTGGCCGAATCTCATCCTCCAAAAATATCCGATGGGAACAGAAGGAAGGGCTGTTCCCTCGGATATCGGTGATCTTCCATGCCAGAGCTTGCTCGTACTGCTTCAATAGGGCCACCAGTCTGGTCTTTTGCTCTAGTGTGAGGGTTGAGCTGATGATGACTGGAAGCTTATTCCCCTCCCGGAGAAATGCATACTCCAAATGAGAAGGGAGGGGCTTCAGCTCCAGTTCTGGTGGCTCCTACAGAGAGGTGGTGATGCAAGTCGAGGATGAGATCGGCTTGAACGATTTCTCGACCTCCAGTAACTCGCCACGCTCTAGCGCGACCAATTGCTCCTCAAGTTGCAGCTCCTACGATGCCTGCTCACCTAGCAAAATACCACGCTCAAGGGCATCGTCAATACCCGCACTCGTAATGGCGAGTGCGGTTTCAAAATCAACAAGCATGTCACAGTAATCCAAATCATCATGGATATGGGAATGTTTCGCATTGTCAGAAACAGGAAATGTAGCTTGTTCATCCCCAGCCCGCAAAATTAACTTGCCACTATGCATATCAATCAACGCCTTGGCGATGGCGAGAAATGGTCTACCCAAAATCAAAGGCACATCCACATCCTCATTTATATCCAGAATAAAAAAATCAACTGGATATGTGAACTACACGTATGTAGATTTTTCCATGGGAGAGACAAGCAGGAAACACATCGGCTTCAATTCGACTGCTAAACACTGTACTTGCGCAAATCCTCCATGCAATACATTTGAATACCAAATTCGAGTAACAAAAGAACCCTTAAACATCTATCATAGTTAAATAACCAAAGCAATATGGCTGCGTTGATTATTTTCAAAAGTTTCGTGGAATGTATCCAGGGTAGGGATGGCAATTAAACCCATGCCCATGAGTATCCAATTGCGCCCGACCCGGTCAATACGGGGAATTCCAAATCTGTGCTTCTTTGCGACGGAATAAGTCGCCGCTAAAAGATTGGAAGCAATTTCCTACGATGATGCGACGACTTAGTTTGTTGCAGAATGACCTTACCGCGATGAATAATTTCGTCAGAGAAAGAAAAGTTTGGCAACGAACAATTCGTCGTTGAAGCATCTAATCCGCGACGATATCTCCTTCGCTAAATCTATTTTTCATTCACTATATTGCGTCGAAATGAAACATTTGTTGCAAAATCTATTTCTTCAGCAACGACATTTTCGTCGCTGAAAACTATTGGCGACGACATAGTCGTCGCAGTAGCTTATCTCTTTAGCGATGAATCATTCTTTTTGCCGACAGAACAGTTATAATCGTCGCGAAAAGCTAGGGCAACGCGGTATAGGCGACAGAAGGATTGAGGATTTGGCGACGACCATTGTCGTCGCAGAAACAATTTGCGACGGATTTTGATGTTTCAGCGACGACTTATTCCATTGCCAAAGGTACTGTTTTTGTAGTGTATGGTGTGGGTATGGGTAAAACCCGCAAAAAGTTTGATGGGTATGAGGTGGGTATGAGTTTAGTCTCCCCCGCCCCACCAAAAATATTTCTTCACATATGAAAAATATGTGAATCAATTTGCAAACTATCAATAATAGTGAGTATAACTCAAGAAAAATATATAGTAGAAATGCAATTGAGTGGACACCCAAATCAAAATCTAATTTCTTTCTCTCAATTTTAACTTCACTCTTTCACTTTTTCCCTTGTTAACAAGATTATGTTATTTAATTATTACTTAATAGATGTATCAGAGTAGAGAATAATGATTTGGATGACATTGTACTATACTCTGATATGGATTAGTGGATGTTTTAAAATAAGGTGCTTTGAACCGTATTAAAAATGATGATCTCTTTGTCGACTTCATGATATAGTAGGTGCGTTTAATGTTATAATTGAAAATCTACATGTAAAATATTAGGTATTATAATGTTGAATGTACAGGACGGGTACTAACCATGGGTACCCGAAACCCACGGGTATGGAGATGGATTTGCAAAACTTTTCTCACATGGTATGGGACGGGCATGGTGCGGATTTAGCGGGAATGAGAATGATTTAGGCAAAATCCGCCCATTGCCATCACTATTCTGGAGGCTGGCCAAATTATATAAGTCAAACTTTAATTTAGCGGATCTATTGAATAATTGCATTAACAACTTTTTATTCTATCTGTTACCAAATTTCGTAAAATCCATGCGAATGAACCATTCATAAGTAATTACCATACATATCTTTCAAAATCAATCAATCAAAATTATTTTTAATATTAGACCAAATAATTGATACACTAATTAATGTAATCTATAGGGTAACTAGACCATAAGAAAGGGTAACTGCATAATGATAATATACTACCGTTCAATCAAGGCAGGCCACAATAATAATGAAAGTTTTATAACATCTCTCGCCCATTTTTATAGAAACACTAATTAGTAATTAGTATCAAACATTAGTTAAAATTTAAAACTTATATTTTGCCACTATATTGTATGTAAAAGAAATATAGTTCAAGGGCTTGCTTGGTAAGCATCATATAATTGAGGGGCTAAGATGACTATTATGCCATTTTATTTATTTTTATTTTTTTTGGTAGAACCATTTTATTTTTAAATTGCATTAAAAAGACGGAGATGGTAAGGCGGGCCGGGCCGGGTCTGCTGCTGCAGTCAATCCGAGTTCTACCCGTTTTCGCCATGGAACCCTAAATACATTTAATCGGAAGAATTGCAGAGTGGGAAGAAAAAAGGATCTGTAATTCGAATCCGGACTAACAAGCGTCTCCAGTTGACGAGTCCTTCTCCTCCATTCTTGGAACCCTAAAACTTGCGGAAGCGGCAAGCCAAACCATTTATCCCATTAGGCAAAAGGAAGGTCTCAATCCTTTTCCTTGCGACTCTTCTTCTCTGGATTTCTCCGTTCCCCAACTTCTCCTTCCATGTGAGCTACAAAACCCATTTGAAAACCCTTCATTCAGTTCTGTTTAACTTCTCTTCTTCCTTCTCCTCATGGCTACCGAAGCCACCGCCACCGCCGATTTCCAGAGCCCAGATTTCAGACCAGTTCCCCAGCCCCCTGATTTCCATCCCGAGATTCTCGTGAAAGCCCACGACGGCCTTCACTTCTGGCAGTTCATGATCGCCGGCTCCATCGCCGGCATGGTGGAGCACATGGCTATGTTTCCAGTCGACACAATCAAGACCCACATGCAGGCAATTGGATCCTGCCCAATCAAATCCGTAAGCATCTCTCACGCTTTCCGTTCCATTATCAAGACGGAGGGCACCGCCGGACTCTACCGCGGCATCGCTGCAATGGGTCTCGGCGCTGGCCCCGCCCACGCGGTTTATTTCTCGGTCTATGAAACGTGTAAGAAGCGGTTTTCTGGGAACAATCCGAACAATTCACTAGCTCATGCTGCTTCCGGAGTATGTGCTACCGTTGCAAGCGACGCCGTTTTTACTCCTATGGATATGGTGAAGCAGAGACTGCAGCTGGGGAACAACACCGTGTATAGGGGAGTTTTGGATTGTGTGAAGAGGGTCTTTAGAGAAGAGGGTATTGGTGCTTTCTATGCTTCGTATAGGACTACAGTTTTGATGAACGCTCCTTTCACGGCGGTTCATTTTGCCACCTATGAGGCCGCGAAGAAAGGTTTGGCTGAGATTTCGCCAGATAGCGCTAACGATGAAAGCTTGATTGTCCATGCCACTGCTGGAGCTGTTGCTGGAGCACTAGCAGCTGTCATCACCACTCCACTTGATGTGGTTAAGACTCAGTTGCAATGTCAGGTGAGTTATTTATGCTATTGGTTTTAGAAGTTCTTATCATACTTATAAAGCAATTAGGTGTAGGGAAACAAAGGGATGGTGCATTTCATAGAAGAAAGGCTGGAAATTATGTCAATTAGTAGTGAAAGAGGCGACCTTGCTATTCAGTGAAATTGCAACTGTAGATAGAATGTGACACTCGCTTTGTCTGATCATCAAGTGGTTGTGATTTCTGCTGTCATGTTGGCTTGGGCATGTAAGCGGTTGACACGAGCCACTTAGTTTTATTTTGATTCATGGTTCCTCAACTTCTCCTTCTACATGTAAACTTAGTCTGATGCTATGCTGCTTTATGTGTTTTGGCTGGTGATTCTCTGTACTAGGAGCAATTGCGACAACTTTTGCAGTTACACTCTGTAGTAAGGGCAATCGGAACCTTTTCCTACAAGTTGTCATACTCATAAGTTCTTCAGTTTCCCCAAACATCTATTTAGTTGGGCAATAGATCAACAAATTCTTCTCAGTGAGCACGTTTTATATTTAGTATGGAAAATGCACTACTTGAAACAGTGGCTGCTTGAGATAGTCGATTCAAGGTTGGTAGGAAGAAGATAATATTGCTGAGGTTTTAGAGAGTGAAATCCTTCTCCGTAGTTGGTATCTATCATCTGCTCAACATGTTTGGATAGAAACAAACGGCTGTATTGACCAATGCACTAATGCAGTTCAAGACCTTGATTTTCTTGCTCTTGTTGAGTAGCAACCCTTTCCTAGGAAACAAACAAGTAACTCGAACTTTTCCCGTCTCAAGCTAGACGAGAAGTGTGCAGCTTCATTGTTCTAGTTCAGGGGCAGTACAGTTTTCCCTTAGTTTGCTGACTTTGAAGTCTCACTTGCGTAATCACCACAACTTTCGCTTACTCTTTCTAAGGTTTCCTTGAACAATGTAGTTTTGGCTATATTCTTCATGTTTAATGGGAACATGCTAGGTCAAATTATGCATTACTTATATAGATGTAATGACAAAACTCAACAAACTAGTTAGTGTCGCCTATAATTGTTGCTTGCACTCCCCTGCTCCATGCTTTCCTATGTAATGGTTGTGGTTTGAGGATAACTAACTATAGTTATCGTGGTTTCAGGGTGTTTGCGGTTGCGACAGATTCAAAAGTGGTTCAATAAGTGACGTTTTGAAAACAATAGTTAAAAAGGATGGGTACAGAGGGCTGCTGAGGGGTTGGGCTCCAAGGATGCTTTTCCATGCACCTGCAGCTGCTATCTGCTGGTCTACCTACGAAGCCTCCAAAAACTTCTTCCACGAACTCAATGATAGCGCTAACAACAGTGGCACTATCACTTGAACGGTGTTGAGGTGGGGAAGTCATGGATGGAATCACAATTTGATACCGTAATAATGCTGTGTACAAGTAGTAGCAAGATCTTAGGCTTCAGCAACAGAGGACAGTAATCCAGACATGGGGTATCCCTTGCAACAGGCAACTATAGGCAGAAGTAGATTACAAATCAATTTGATGAATTTAGAGTTTACTTTTGACGAGGTCGAGATTACGGTTTATTAATGTTGTACACGCCCATGTAATAATCCTATTGAGTTCTTTCATTTTCCGGGTTTATGGACTGGGTGAAAGCTCCGTGTATCATCAATCTGCATTTCTCTTTCGCCCTGCTTAAGTTTTGACCTTTTGGAGATGTTCTTATCTATCAAAGTTTAATTTGGTAGTTCTGTTTCTTGTAATAGCTGATGTTCTTGAAGTTGGCAATTCTTGTATACTCGCTTTAATTGGAGCTTGTAGCAGCATGTGCAATAAAGAAAGCGAGCATTTCCCGTTTGACATGCAGTCTCTGCCTTTCGGAAGTTCTTGCAAATGTGATTGATTATACTATGTGTATTGAATTGAAATGCTTCAATGCCATCAATTACAGAACTTCCCAGGTTTAACTGTTATGAGCATACAAGTGGCTGGAACGTTAATGAATATCATTGAGCCAAACTTTGAGAAGCCGTAACTGCCTTCGAATCCAAATACAAATTGATTTTATTTGCTCGAAGCGCCATAGCTACCACTGTGATGAAGTGCACAAGTTCGCATTCTGTACTGCAACATTCAGATTGAGGTTCATCCTGGAGGTCTGTTTCTCCGACTCCATGATCCCCCATCTACTATGAACTTGCAATCTGGCCAGACTATCACAGTAATATTGTCAAGCTTCCCACCTGCCTACAAAGGGCTCGAGCAGTTAGTCAACAATTTCTGCTACGTTTCAAAGAGGAGTTACCAGCTAAAAGAGAGTGAAATGTCGAAGCATGAACAGAAAAGGGGTCTGCCATGCTTGTTGCATGCCAAGGATCTTTTTCCACCATGGTAGCTCAATAGCCTGCCAAGAGAATTCATCGAGATGATGAAAAGTTTCAACATTAAAGATACAGGTCAACTATGGATGAACATATGTGTATGAATTTTGGAAGTTTGTTTGATGGTCACCTTGGACCTGTGTTCCAACTTCCAATGCGTAGGGCGACTCGTAACTCGAATCCAGTGAATGAACTCAAGCTAAGTTACCAGAACCTTTGCTACCATTGAAATGGTCGAAGTTAGTAAGTTACCACAGGCAATTAGTAAAATGAGAGAAAATAGTAACACATCGAAATTACAACAAATAACTTACCAGCATCACTAACATTTCTATGTTGGCATATTGTGGAAACAATCCCATGATCACAAACATTGTTGACAAGGCCATCAGAACCATCACAATGATATCCCCCTCAATCACTTCCAGGCTGCTAACCTTTGCGGAAGGATCAAATGTAGATAAGATGAGAAAGTTCGTCAACGTTGTCTAAATATAAAAAGTTGAAAGAGTCTTGCTGCAGCAATATGAATGAACATACCATAGCATCGAGATATGTCTGACTGACAGTTTCTGAGCTCAATTGATATGGACAATCAAAATAGTGTTCTTGTGGGGAGAAGTGGAGAATATTATTTGTCCTGCAATTAGAATAAACCGCATGATCCACCCTCAATTGTGTAGAATAAATGAATGAAAAAAGTACAGGGATGCCAAATAGAATGATGCGAGGAACACCAACCTCAGAATCAAGATTAATACTTTCATGGATAAGCTTTAGTCCACAATCTCCAACATTTGTGATCTTAAGCATTCCATTTCTCTCCAGCATAGCCACAATCCTAAATGATCTTACAACCAAAAGACAACAAGCATTCAGCCACTAAATCCATCTAGTTACTTTCTTACACATTACTGCAAATGCTAATATGCTAATGCTACCTCCTCATCTGGCACGAAACTAGAAGCATTTGCAATCAGTTCTCTAGAAAAAAGCGAAGGACCTACATCCTCGTCAGCCCAACTGAAAAAGCAATAACAATTGGTTGGCAGGTTAATGATACTAACAAAGCATATCAACTTCCAGCACTAGCAGAACGAAACGAAACAGAACGGAATGGTGCAACTAGTCAGTTTTAAGGTTACCCTGAGACACCATCAGCAATGGCAAGGACTCCACCACCGTAGCTACTTATGAAAAATGCATCTTCCCCACCTTTTTCAACCAATGAAAAGTGCTAGTATCAGGGCACAAGAAGAGATCATCCAATATCTAACAGTCCGGAACAAAGAATTTACTAACACTGTCTACCTTGTTGGGATGTGGAATGACGTGACTTCCAACACAGAGGTGATAACTCTGACTTGCAAATGCCATTGATACATTTTTATCTGGAAGTAACCTGAATTCAAATCCCAGACTGAACCTACCCATTTCCTGTTTGCTCCCAAGTGATAGTGGGAAGCGGTTAGAAAAATACATGGAAATTCGGGCGGAAGAAATGCTAGGGGGGGATAACGCGAGAGAAGCAGCTGACCGGAGAGAGTTAAGTTCCGAGGATGCAGCAAGCCGAAGAGGAAGCAGCACCAGCTTCTTCTTCTTGGAGATTCCATTTACAGCTGAATTCCATGGAATCGGACGTTGGAATCAGAACAGTGTGTTGGAGTGAGGAATCGACATTTTCCCGCTTCAACTGTCTCTCGGGCCTCGGCACGTCCAGAAGCTCCTGGTTGTTTCGCTCTGGCACTCTCTCTTCCTTCTACTGGTTCTTACTCAGTAGTCAGTACTGGAAGGATTGGGGACCGAAATGGGAAAATAAAGGCGATATCCAAAACGTGAGACAGAATATCCATCAAGCACCAGTGGTCTAGTGGTAGAATAGTACCCTGCCACGGTACAGACCCGGGTTCGATTCCCGGCTGGTGCATTCGAATTCGAGTTATGATGAAATCTGCGCTCTCTGTGAGAGTGGTCCTCTCACTGTCGCCTGATCTTCGGACGAATTATGAGCGCGTCTGAGCTCGATTCTTTTTGACACTTCGCGCCTCCTTTTCTTCAACTGGGATTCTACTAGCTCTTTCCGTTTAGCAGTTGGGGGGATTGTTACATCTACACAATAAATAAAAGCCAAATGAGAAAACTTGAAGCCCCATTTCAAATTTCCTGCATCCAGAGTGAAAGTAGGAAGGACATTTTGGTCTTCACAATTACTTTTTTTATTCATTAAAAAGACACTTACTAGGATTCGAACCATGACCATTTTAAAGAAAAACAAAGATCATAACCAATCACACTAAGTACATTTGTTGTATCTTTTTAAATTAAAAACATATAATTGCAGAGAGGAAAAAACTCTTCCCCCATTTAAAATTCCCTGCTCCAGGAGCGTTTGTAGGAAGAGTAGAATAGGGAGTGTCAATATTTTTCTTTTTCCTCTGTGGAACGGGCCAACTTACCGTACACATGCGGATTTAAACGGGTACAGGAGTGTCAATTTTTTTCTTAAAGTCCTTTTATTTCTCCATTGTGGTAAAATATATATATGAAAAGGCAAAATCAATACTCCTTTTTATTGCTAAAAAGAAAAAAATTAACAATAAACTAATGCATGGATTCTAATGGGCTAACCGCTAATCATAAAATAAAAGAGTTGAACGGGTCTGACCTACATGGGATTTGCCCATCAAGTAAAACAAATGAACATCATGGGTTTGTCATTCTAAAACAAGCTATTTTCTCAAGCATAATATATACTATGCTATTATTTTATATCTTAGTGGCTAAAATATAATGTATTTTAAAGTTATTCAATGGTTCAACTTCGACCAACTCAATTAGTCCAATTTTTATCATTTCAAATATATATTATGTAATTATTTGATATCATAATGATTAAATTATAGTGTATATTATAGGGAATCGTTTGGTATTTGTTAGTAAAAAACTAAACAGAAAGATCTATTTGGTTATTTTTAACATTAAAACGATCCTAAACATTTTCAGTTTCCTTTCGAAATTCTATAGTTTTATTCCCGAATCAGTGATGTGCAAATGGTGAATTGCAGTCATCTCTTTTCTTTCATTATTTTTTATTTTCAAATATAAAGTTTAAAAGTAAAGAATAATTAGAGTTTGGCATGGGTCGGTCAAACAAGCTGAATTTCAAGTTTTGGCCCATTTTGATCAAGTCTAATTTATAATCACATGGTTCTCTGATACCCTATAAAAATCTCAATCCAAACCAGTTTGACAGGTGAGTCCGTGTTTACCACCATTTTCTAGGGATACAGGAACGGTGGTTCCTATCCCAAATCGTGCTGTTCATTCTTGATTTCTTTAGATTTTATCATGGCTTGGCAAAAAACCAGAAAACACAATGATGAGAAGATGAAAGTTTTATAAAGCAAATTAATCGGCCAATGGGCCGAGTAAAAGCTAGCAACGATTGTGAGATGCTCATTTCCCGAAAATCGGCGGGATATGCGATTTTTTATTCGATTTTCTGGAATTCGGTTTCTATAAAACTTACTCCACCTCATCATATTACCAGAAAAAATATTGTTTCACAAGGTAACATGTACTTGATTTTGGTTCATAAGACTGATTTTTTATTCGTTGCATCATTCATGTCTCTTTTCTATTAAAATTCACTATTTTTATCACGTGTTTCCAAAAAAAAAAAAACTATACAACAATAAGTTATACGCCCCATTACATTATCAAATTTCATACCTCACCTTCGTCCGGCCAAATGGCCGGGGCCACGCTAGTTACTTTTACTCGGAAAAGAGTTTCATTCTTGGGCACATGAGATTAGAGAAAAAACCACGATCATTATTTATGTAATGAGATCAAATACAATGTGTGGAGAAAAATTACAATCTGATTCTGATGTACTCTGCTATGTAACTATGGATTAATCTATACCATTATATATACCACAAGTGCCGCAGCCGCAGCCGCAGCTGTTTCTTCTTTTACAAGTAACTAGCAACTTCAACTTCACCAACACTGTCCTTTCTGCACCTTAAAACCCTCGTCTCGCTCTCTCTTATTTCAAGCACCTGAAAACACATCCATACAAAGTTACAAACAAACACCATCAACACACTTGCCCCATTTTTACTTCAGACAGGTATATACGCACATGGATGAAGATTAAGTTTTTACCTCTGGACTCGAATTGAAAACTCCTTTCGACATACCAACATCGACACGCCACACGCTCCCATTATATTCACTACATCGAGAAGAGTAATGCATCCCAAGACATTAAGGAACTTAAATTGCAAATGAGAGGATGAAATGTCGCTCGACGAGTAATATAAGGGATAGAAAGTACCAGTTTGCTCCAGCAGGTTGAGGGGTGTGCCCTACAACAATTCCCTTTGCACCAAGTGATCGCAATGTGTCCTCGAGAATCATCTGTACCTGAAAAACCAAGACATTGCGACTCTTTTAGTTAATGTAGAGAAAATGGTGGAGTTGTGTAGACTGTGCACTCACCTGGCTCATCTGATAGCCATCTACAGCGGAGGGATCACGCGAGTACAAGCGATTCCATACCACACTATCGTAGCCTCGAGTAGCAACGAAAGGCATGCTTGGGATGGACGGATCATCTTCATCATAGCTAACGCCTCTCATCCATTGGGACACTTCCCGGTTCATTCTCTCCACCCCATATGCGACTGCAGACAACAACAATTAAAGAAGGATCTCCTCAGTAACGCATAGTGATTAGCTTGCTTGCGGAAGAAGGATATTGTGTAAGTGTTTCTTTAACAGACCATGATGAGGAAGAAGGCCTCCATGACAGAAGACCCAATCATTGATCTTCAACAATACGCCATGCTTTGCAAGTTCACACGCTAGCGGTCCACCAGGCCTCAACAGGATCGATCTAGCAACAACCCCCTTCTGTCTCTGTCCTAATATTGTTTCATCAACTACTTGATCGAAGTTACATTCTTATTACATACAATTACACATCTTGAAGCTGTGACGATAATCCAACTAAAACGAAGAGAAGCTTGTTCATTGGTACCTTGAGTAAATTCCATTGACCCCAATGACTGCCAGCTGACGCTTTCTGCTCTTGTCTCCTCTTCTCAGATGCACCAACCCAGCCGATAAAACCTTCATCCCAATCGTCTTTGAATCCGTCATCCAAGTATGCCAGGAAATCGAGACACTCATCGTATGCCCCGGAGTCCACATATCTAAAATCTCCTTCCACATTCATTGTCTCGTGATTGCCATTGATCTAATTCAATCCAGACAAAAGTCAGAGAGAGATCAACCCACACAAAAAGTTCAATCAATAATCAAAACCCCCAGCGACCGAACCATAGAAACCAGACCTGGAAAACAGCTCCACCTTGTGCCCTAGCTTGCACATCGAGCGAGCGTAATAGGGATAATATCGCGATCTCATCTTGACCTCTATCTAGTACATCCCCAAGCTGAACCAACACCTACACTTACACATAAAGAGGGTTTAATAAAACAGTAACATTTAACAACAACAAAGGTCCAAGGAAATGGAAATTGGAGATGATGAAACCCTCAAATAGTTACCGTTTCACCACCAATCCATGAATCCCGGCTGCAATCGGAACTAAGCACTCCGGCAATCTGAAGGGCGCATCTCGTTTGATCGAGGTCTCCATGTAGATCCCCAACTAACAAAATTCACATAGAATGTCAAAATTTAATCGCCGTTCCTTTTCCTATGGTGCGGGAAAGTTGCATCTATATAAACTGATTCAAGTATTCCACAAGCCTGAAATGCGAAAGCAAATGAAACTAACCGGCGACTATTCGACGGCCAGGCGCAGAGACGAAAGTTGGCGGATCTCCGATGGCAAGTATTGGCTCCAAGCTACTGATACTGGTATTGTTTCCAACGTCGCAGGTCCGGCGGCCGGCGTCAGTACTGTAAGAATACAATCATGTCGTCAAGTGATCGTCCGAGCGATTTAGCAGACGGAGAGAGAAAGAGAGCTTTACCGGAGGGAATTGAGGTCCGATGAAGAAGCAGCAACAGGAACCAGCAACTGCTTATTCTTCTTCTTCGGAGTTGAATATCCAGTTGCAGTGCATGCATTCGGATTAGGAAGCAAGCAGCGGCGTCGCAGAGGGTTTGACTGGTGAATCGGAGTTCTGAGGAGTGGAATCGCCATTCCCACGCTTCCGCTCTCCCCCAGGCCACAGCTCGTCCACTGACTCTGCTTTGCCACTTTTCTGGTCTCTCCCTCCAAATCTAACCGCTTTTACCCGCATCTCAATTTTGTGGTTCAAATTGAAAGAGAATCCCTCTAACCTTCTTTCAATAAAACAACTGTCATTCATTTATCACAAAAGGCACCAGTGGTCTAGTGGTAGAATAGTACCCTGCCACGGTACAGACCCGGGTTCGATTCCCGGCTGGTGCAATTAATTTTTGCAAAATTTTCTTTTTTGAGATTGCAGTGAGCTAGCTAACTCCGAACTTCGGTTATATAAAATGCTTCGGCAATCAGAATTCAGAACTAATCAGATCCATCTGCAGCAATGAACGCGGCCAACTCCCTCGCTTCTTCTGTTTCGCTTGAAGGTATTCTTCTCCATGCTCATCTTTGTATCCTTATCGACTTTTAGCTTTGAATTCAGAGGTAGCATCAGCTGCCATTTCTTCCGCCATCAACATCTCCCATCGTCTGTGTAGATCACAGCAACCACGCCGGCAGCGATTCAGACACCAGCGTCGATGAGGTACCGGAGTATTACCAGCCGATCTCGCACGCCGACGAGAATGACGAAGAAGAGGAAGACGAATCTGCCGACCATGCGAATCACGCCCCTAATTCGGGAATCCTCGAGAACGGCCATTGTTTCGCTCACGAAGCGCAGAGCTGGATCTCATCTCTCCATCTCAACGGCGTGAAGAGCGACGAAGACGACGAAAATCAAGTGGTGGAGGAGGAGGGAGAGATGGAGATGGTGGTGGCAGAGTCGTCCAATTCGACGGTGGTTCAAGCTATCAGGGAAGACGAGAACCGACGGAATGCGCCGTTGACACCGGAGAACGCTACTAGAGTCATGGAGGCAATGCGTGGGATCTCCTTCGTAGGTTCAGCTCCTGATTGGGCCGGAGAAATTCCTGAAACTCAGTGGATTGATCGCCTCAGACGGATTAGGCAGATGCCGCAACCTTGAAATGTAGAGTAGAATGCCCTAATTTCTGATCTAGGGTTCTAGTCTCGCATTGATATAGTGTGTGATTGAAGCATGAAAGGGATTGTTCTTATTTTCTGGTTTTCTGTTCTCGCAATCTCAGTCAATACAATCTTAGCATCAATAATATAAATTATTGTTCCAGTATACACCATAGCAACCATACCAGCATTCTGTAACAAACATGAACAATGGCTGCATCGAAGTTCTATCTCTCTCTTACTACAAACTGGACTTATGTTATGGCGCCGATTTAAAGAACGAACTTCCAAGACTCAGCTCCGCGATTCTTGGCTTGATTGTTAGGATAGACTATGCACGAAATTTGGGCACTCTTGCTTGCTGATCATGCACCAATGTTCTCAATCTCAGCGCCTCTATCCATCCTCTTCACTATTCCAGCAATAACCTTTCCGGGGCCTAATTCGTAGCTCTTCTTCAGCCCTTTGGATAGAAGAGTCTTCACAGTGGTTTCCCATTGAACAGGGGAAGTCACCTGTGATTCATTCTTGGATATGTTAGTTTCCCAATTCAAATGTCTATGTCTAAATATGGAGGAAAAGTAAGTAGCTTTACCTGACGTGCCAAAATCTTCTTAATCGTGGCGGGATCTGCATGTGGTTGTGCATCGACGTTAGATATAACTGGTATTCTTGGGGTTCTAATCTCTGTTGCTGCAAGTGCAGCTTCTAATCTTGAGACAGCCGGTTCCATAAAGCTCGTGTGGAAAGCACCGGCAACAGCCAATCGCACCTAAGAGAGGCACATAATCAATCACATTAAACGACAATGAGAATGTTGTAGGATTGCTCAATTTGAACTAGCGCTGAAAATTTACCGTCATCCTTGCTTTAAATGACTTGGCCTTCGCTTCAACTGCTTCCACCCCCTTCACACCTCCAGACACAGCATAGTTTCCCTATGGTAGAAAAGCCAGACAAATTGGAGATTGCCATGTTCAGATCAAATATGAGAAGATAGCAGATAGTTATGGCTTAAGAGAGACAGAACTGTAAGAGGAATCTCACAGTGCACAGGAAGTTTGCTATCTGAACTTTCTCAGTCTCATCGACTTCTTGATTGGCTGCATCACATAACTGTTGAACTTTGTCCGAGTCCAGTCCAATGATACTGACCATGGCACTTTTAGCAGCATCAGAAGCTTCCTGCAGATAGTTTACCATTGTCCTAATGACTAATGAGTACTTGAAAGTTTCTTTGAGTGACAGAACACTACTATAAGCGTTACGTGAGTTAGTTACCTGCATGGCTTCACCCCTTAGCTTCACCAGCTTGAGACCATCCTCAAAGCTTTGGACAGTAACATTGGGAGGAAATATGAACCGATTCAGAGAACAATATACCAATAATAAGAGTTTATTAAGGAATTAACTAGTCTCAATCCATCATATTCTCACCTGAAGGCTCCAGAAAATGCTAGGGCAGTGTATTCTCCCAAGCTGAGTCCGCAAGTGACGTCAACTGCATCAATTATTTGCTGGCCACCATCACGAGCACGGAGCATCTCAACTGCAGCCAGGCTAGTGACATATATAGCAGGCTACAAATAGACAAAGTAACCCTTAATTTCGGATTATTCTCTTTCCAACAAAATTATCAACATGTGTTTTCTTTTCTAAATACACCAAAAGTGAAGAGTACCTGGCTTATAACAGTAGAGTCCAGCTTCTCTTTTGGTCCACTGAGACAGAGTTCTAGAAGATCATACCTTCATGACCAAACAATAAGACAGGACAAGTTACTACAAACGAACTAGCAGCTAAACTGAAAACTTACTAGTTTAAACTAAGAGTTCATGTTGCAAGAGATAAACTATGTGAGGGAAGATCTAAAAGTCCTACCCTAGTATGTCATTTGCCTTTTTGTACAATTCTGCAGCAGCAGATACGCTTTGAGCTTCTTTCCCCATTCCAACAGCTTGTGCTCCCTGAATTAGTCAACACAGAGCCATAAAGGTAAGGACAAGAAGTAAGAGACAACAAACCAACAGAGTGATGACTAAAACATCTTCTTAATTGTGGGTTAAAACAAAATTTCATACTCCTTCAAGAGAACATTGACAACAAATTTGAATATTTTTAGTTCCATACCTTCTTTCTTAACTGTGGGTCAAAACATACCATCTAACAATGATCTTAGAATAAAGTCTCTAATTCCCTCATCTGGACTACTAGTACACCTATACATCAATTAATCCAAACTTAGTGAAAAGTTTTCAACACTGGCTCTGAGTTCACCATTTAATAAAAACCTGAATGTGAAGTACATAATCACGAGAAAAATCATGACCTTGGTATAGGTAACACCAAAGTACTAACACTTAGTTCCTCGATTCTTTGCCCTCTTCTTCATACTACCACATCATAAATGGTCAACACCATTGTTTTCATTCCTAGCCCATTACCACATCATAATATCAGCAGCAAAACTGATTCATCTCTAGCCCCATTAGCAAGACATATCATTGTTATAAGCCACATCGCGCATCGCTCCCTGGAGCCTTTATCCAGACACTAATGTGTAATGCCCCAAAGCAATGCCGATGGAGTATGGAATCAATATAACCCAACGAATTATACTAAATCGAGCATCCCATTGATGCGACAACCAAAAAATTGGATGCAAAAACAAGAATTCATTACCGGCTCATCCTCCATTTTCTCCTAAAACAACCAATTCCGAGTGAAGCTCAGAACAACCATCACCATCATCATCATTTAATTAATGTAGACAGTAATCCGACTCACAGTCGAGTCAACTCCAAGCTAACAATCTCATAAGTGACGAATTGACATGAAGCAACCATCAAATTCATCGCACTCGAATCCATAGAGTGGGGGAAAAGTGAGTGAGGGACCAACCTGACCAGGGAACAGGAAAGCAGCAGAAGGCTTGTAATCAGCGAACAAGGAGTCGTCGACGACAGTCTGTGATCCAACTGAAACACTCATGAAAACCCTAGATCGACCGAAGTTCTTGATTCCGAATCCGCGAGCTCCATTTCTGCAGCAGCCGTTAAGAGCCTCGGAGGCGGCGAAGGAGATGCGGTTGGGGGAAATTGCTGGGAGAGCGAGGGAAGAGGCCATGGCGGCGGAGACTAAGCTTGAAGGCTTCCGAAGGATGGAAGAGCGGAGGCAATGGCAGGGAGAGCAGTGGAGGTGATGGTGGAAGAGCAGAGAGCGCATGAAGGAGCGGGGAGAGAGTTGGGGGAGTATTTTTGGTTTATAGATACTAACGTGCGCCAGATAGGCAAGGGGCTGCTGGCTTGCGTAGGCTAGCGGAGATTACGAAGAAGAGAGTCGTTGAACAGACCGGCCAACTGTAATTCTTCAGTCTTCGCTTCGGTGGCTGCTCACTGTTTTTGTATTTTACATTTATTGGGCGGCAAGTTTGAGAGCTGTTTTTGGCCTAGGGGTTACTAGATTTGAGTATGGCACGTTGGCCAGATGCATTTCATTAACGGCATAATAATAATAACTAACTTTAACTCGGACCTTGGCCGAATGAGTTTCGTTTTATTATTAATATTGGTTAATTTATAATTATATTTAAAATATTAACCCGATTCGTTGGTCGGATGAATTTTATTTTATTGTCATAAATCTCTTCATGTTTTTAAATAAGTTGAGGCTTCTAAAATAGTTAATTCATTATTGGGTTATAGGTATAATATGCCCCTCTACTATTACGTTTTATCAAACATGCCCCTCTACTATTTTTTACATCAAACATGCCCCTGTACTTTGTAAAAATGATCAAACATGCTCTTTTGTTAAAATTTTCATCCAAAAACCGTTAACCAAGGCCGAACGTTAGTTTGGGCGACACAAATGACTAAAATATCCATGAAAATTTCACTATAGAATTTTTTTGATTCTTTTGTATAATCAAATCATTCAAAAAATTTCACTTTGAAAAGACCCAAAGAAATAAAACAGGGGACAAAACTGACATTTTTCCTCCCATTTGCCGATGTCGGGTCGTCTAAAAGTTCAACCATGATTGACGATTTTTTCAATGAAAATTTTAACAGAAGGGCATGTTTGATAATATTTTCAAAGTGCAGGGGCATATTTGATATAAAAAATAGTAGATGGGCATGTTTGATAAAACGTCATAGTAGAGGGGCATATTATATCTATAACCCTTCATTATTTCATAGTAATCTTTATGGTATTTGTTGATTATGACCAATGCAGTCAAAATCGCGCTTTAAAACTTAAAATCTTACGTTTTTACCTTTTCAGGTCACCAAAACGCTTCTACGTAGAAACACATTTTTTACTTACAAGTGTGGTCAAAATTTACGCTTTAAAGCTTAAAAACTTACGGTTTTACGCTTCTAGGTCACCAAAATGCTTCTACGTAGAATCGCGTTTTTTACTGCATTGATTATGACATTACCGATAATGAGTTAATATGTACTTTTTTATCAGTCCTCCTAATTTATTGTTTTGTATTTTTTTCATATCTTAGAAGAAATTTGTGGACTTTTTATTATCGGATATGAAGTTGGAGTTGAAACAAAATATATGTCATCTAGAATGGTAGGAATTGAAGGTATATAAAAAAAAATCAAGAGAATAACGAAAGGATTATGCCTAAAAATCTCAAATATGGAAGAACACATAAACATAATGCTTATTGTATAAATTATTAGAATTTAGTGTATAGGCTTGATTGAATAATAAGTTGAGGCTATAAGTGTTAAATACTAATGCACGTACAAAAGTTACGAAAATTCAACATTATAAAACCTTAAATTCTACTCTATCAACACAATATTTGACTTTTCATGTGGAGTTAATAGCATAAATTGTCACACTATTATCCATTTTTCTCAAATGTATCCCTTTTATTTTTCACATCAAACATCTCCTTGTAATATATAGTATATACGTATTATCAATTTAAATTTAATCCCTTTTATGATTTATCTTTTTCATCTGCAACTCCCAATAATTAATAGCCACAATCTCATCCTCCATCTGTCCCGCTTTCTCTTCCATCGACCTAACAATAATTAAACGCAAAAACTTGTCCGTCACGAAAGAACCTTGAAGACCGACTTTTGAATTTCAACCACTCTCTGAAAATCCACAATTATTGAACGATTTGACTCAATCATAAAAATTGGAACCCAAAATTTTTAGAATATATGGATTACAAGTATCAAAGGTTGTCAACCTGGTTTAGCCCGTTGGCCTAGTCGATTAAGTGGGTGAAGAGTTAATGGTGTAATTGTTTTAGTCCGCTTTTGCCCGGATATATGAAAAAATTATTCTATTGTTCATATATTTATAAATTATATAAAATCTCATCTACATATGAATAATATTATTAATCGACCGGACTATCTACATTTGTTTCTATATCTGCTATTTTCTGCTATCCTCCTTCGAGCACCTAAAATGCACTCCAACAACATGTATTCGTCACGCGATGAAGGTCGCACTCTTATGGTGGCGATGTGTGTCAGAAATGGAATTAATGAGTAATGACCAAGTTGAAATTGAGCATGGGGTGTTTGCGAGGGAAGACAATATGTGATGGAAGGCGAGTTCTTCCAGTAGTCTCATTGTTAACAGAATTGAATTGACGAATTTATCTTACCAATACGCGAAGCAGGAGCTATCTTCAAGAATTATAATTTGAGTGCCGTGAAAGAGCGTGAATATTATATTATTTTAATTAATATATTATTAACTTACTAACATGTTTTAGTCAAAATATTACATCAATGCAGTGGAAAAAAATAAATCTTTTTAGTAGAATAATAGCTTTAAATAATTTGATTAGACCCGAAAAAGAACAAACTTCAAAAGGTGAATAGAAACCCAAAAAAGTTTATAGTGCTATTTTGTTTTAGTTTTTAAAAAAGGAAAATAGTATGAATGCATCGTTTATCCATCCCCATGCACTCAATTAGTTGTTAATAAAAGAGTCTATATCTTTTTCTTCCCCCTTCGATTCTTTGTTTCCTAAGCTGACTCTAGATATCTCCTGTAGATGTACCAAATTGGCAAATTCTATATCATCGGCTATCTAACTAACCTCCTATCATTTTATTCAGCCCCAAGTCCGTGATTTGATGATCTATTTCACAATACTCATTCACGAACTCGTAGTGTATCCTTTTCGTCTTTGCTCTCCAAATCTCTGACGGTACCACATATATTTCTTTCTCCCATGAAGAAGCAAGTCATCGTCTTCGATCCAAAGCTGTTGATTTTGCTATAACTTGTTTCATTTTACTTTGTTTATAGAGAGAAAAATCTCTCAAATAAGTGATATATGAAATAAAATTTGCGAACATTGATTTTCGATGCTCTGATTTTTAGTTTGAGCAACAATTTCTGGATTTTGGAAGTTTGTAGTTTCTGTAAAATAATTATGAAGAAAAAATATAATTCCTACTTTCGTTTTCGTAGTAGGAAATTTGAAATGAGACAACAATTTTCTCATTTTAGTATTATATATTGTGTAGAGTGTATATAAAGACATGTCTTTTCCCTACAAATTCATTAGCACATTGAAAAAAGGTGAAATGAACCAATTTATTAAACTCCTAATGATTGTAGGATCCAGAATAGGAAAAGATTTAAAATTTGACGGTTAGCCAAACTAAAATGTTCAATGAACCAGTCTCATATAGTTTACACAAAGATATGAATACGATTGTGTAATAGTAGGTCTAAAAATTAATACATCACTTTTAAATATTCAACACTGCAATTTGATATGGAATATTCGAATCAATGATATTTGGGCCGCAATTTTAAAGCTATCCTCTATTTATAAGATATATAGGAATTTAATTAAGTATTAAATAATAATTAAAATAAGGAATTTGGCCTTTGTTAGTCACATAAAGTTTCAACTCAAATGCATGTTTCTTAATAATTTTTGTTTTGTATTTGTATGAGATGAGGTCGACTGGCTCTATGACTATGCAGCTGGAGAAAAATGAAATTTGCTATTGCGGGATTATGATAGATTTTGAGATGGTTGGGTCGTGTATTGTAGGCTCTCAAATCTAAAGTAAGAAGAAGAGACGATGGGATAGTTGAACATGGTCTGTGATGTTTCATGTTGTAGGGTTCTGTGATAAGTAAAAGGATGATATAACAGTGTAGCTACGTATATGAATTGTTTAAAACAACATCATTTTGAAATGGTTGGTGCTCGAATCAGCTGGTTAAATCGGTTGGATTTCCCACTAAGATAGACAAACTCAACTTTGACCCGGCCTAAGTAGACAACCAATTGGGCCTTCGACACCCGCTGAGATACTCAGGTTTAGATAGAATTGGTTCGATTAACAGAGTCATACTCGAATTGAAAATCATGGTTATGACTTTTGTCTGTGTTTGAAGATATATTAGTTCAAATCCCAATACTAGTCTATTTTCTATACAAAATAAATATAAATAAAGGCGAAGACAAAAATGTCATTCATACTTTTGCTCTCGTTGTTGGAAATTTGAAATGAGACGACAATTTTATCGTGCCAATAGTATATATTGTATAGAGTGTATATGTTGACATGTCCTTGCTCTAAAAATTCATTTTAATACATAAAAAGATGAAATAAACCAATCTATTAAACTCAACCTATTCTAATGATTGTTGGATCCATCATGCTGTCGGATTAGGAAGATGTTTAAACTTAACGGTTAACCGAGTGATAATGGTGTATTTGCACTTGTTTGCACCCTTAGTTCTTATCTGTGTGCGGCTTGTAGTCGTGCATTTTTTTGCCTATTTTACATTGGGTTGTGATACTTTGTCACATTTTAGGTCCCAGACGTCGAAGGGAAGGCTAGGCACGAGTTTCGGGGCTTTTGGACGTCATTCGGTCGAGCTGGGGTCAAAACACGGGCAGGAGGCCTAAAGAACATGGTCGTGTACACGGACGAGCACACCAGTGTTTTTTAGTGCGAGAGCTGAACTGATGAAGAAGCAAAACACGGGTTGGACTAAAGAATAACACGGTCATGTTTCAGACCGTGTTATTTATGCCGAGAGGTTGCATTTGGAGGCTGCTGCGAAGTCCAAAACACGGGCAGAAGTGAAGTAAAACATGGCCGTGTCAATAAGTGGGCACGACCGTGTTTTAGGGCAACGCGGGCTTGTTTTTAACACGTGGCGAGAACACGGACGGGCAAAAGAAAAACTCGATCGTGTCCTCGCCGTGTTTTGCCAAGAATCGGGCTTTTGAGGCTGATTCAAGCCAAAGGAGAGAGAATCGAGTTTTTGAGCAAAAAACAGAGCTTTAGAGAGAGAAAGTGCGAAGAACAAACCCTAGGATCTATTTGGAGTGGATTTCTCACCAT